TGTGCGCAGCACGTGTACACGTCGTTCATTCCTAATCGTGCTCATTTCTAATTGTGCTCGTTTCTAATTGTTCCTGGCCCTCTAGTGGCCAGGAAGAGGCCCAGGACAGAATAATTAGAAATGAAAGGATCTTGCCCCCCCCCCAAAAAAAAAACTTGCGAATACTTAGAAACGAACCATGTGTACACCAGGATATGCGCAGCACGCGTAGGGAGCTTCCCAAGTAGCATGCGCACTATCTCTCAACTGTTAGCCATCGAATTCGATAAAATCGTTCGTGTCCACGGAATCGTCGCCACCGATAAGGGCGCGGGGCCCGCACTCCACGCCAACGGATAACTGTACTTCCATGAATTTCGATAGCGGCATCGCTGAAGTGCCGCCGGAGAGAAATCCATGCTACAATCCACCATGCGCGCCAACATTCCGAAAGTCAACCATCAGCTGCTCCAGAAACTCTTCGGCCTCCTCCAGGTAACACTCGTAGGACCGAGCAAAGTCGCCTGTCGGAGGTCGGACGTCAGGGACTCCACCAAACCGAAGAAACCATCGCCGTCCTGGCACTAGCACCCTGGTGAAGAAGAGCACCGTCGTCGAGAGCAGCACCGCCGTTACGATAAAGGCCTCCAGCATCCAGGGAAAGAACACTCCCATCCAGAGCAGCACCGCCGTTGCGACAAGCACCTCCAAAACGACAAAAAGACCCATCATCCAGAGAAAGAGCTCCCGCGTCAAACATACCACCGCCGAAACGACGAGATACTCCAGAATCCAGATGAAGAGCTTCGCCGTCAATAGAAGCAAAGCCCCTAGGACGAGGAACGCCAGATTCGCGAAGAAGGGCCCCGCGAGAATGACCAGCTCCACCATCGCGAGAAAGAGCCCCGCCGTCACCAAACAGACCCCCGCCGCGACGACTGTCACCGTGAAGGCCAAAGCGGGAAACCTTGCAGCGGTAGTGTACGTACGTGCACTCCCGATGACCAGCACCACCGTCAGGAACCACACCGCCGGTACGAAATAGAGCTCCAGCACCCATAAAGGGGAGCTCCGCCGTCAAGCACAGCACCGTCGCCACGGACGACAAGAGGCTCCCGCATCAAGGTGCAGAGTACCGCCGACCAGAGTACCACCGCCGCTACAAGAAAAACCTCCAGGGAGAAGCTCCAACATCAATATTAAGAGCTCTGCCGCCAAGAACCGCAACGTCGCCGCGGTCCACAGTGTCGATACCGCGGTGAAGGCAACCGAAAGAATCCGCCAGCTCTTTCATCATATGCTTCGTGGCGAAAGTCAGGATCCAGCCCGCAGTGCTTCAGTGGACGGCTGCGTGGGCGGCGGGCGGAATGGAGTCCAACGCCTGCGTGCAATCGCACACGCTATGGATCGCAGTCACATCGGTCTAGCACACAACCTCGACGCGGTGGGTGCATTGCGGCTCGACAACGGTTCCATCACAGTCGACAAACACCTCGTCCGGGCACATACTTGACAAAGCACTCAGCAGTACCCTCGAGCACTGGAAACGACGAAACCAAGCCAAGACCCGCGCAATGTGCACCAGAACCAGGCCCAACTGCATCCGCAGCGGCGCCAAGACACTGCTGTGGGACCTTGTGTAAGGTCGTCGGGAAGCCGAGCTCCGTCGTGCTATCGCCCCCCCGAGGGCCCAGCACCGAGGCTGAAACCATGCAACCCCTTGTAGGGTCATCACCACCATTATTTGCCCCATCATCATCAGCATCATCATCACCATCATCATCGGCATCATCATCAGCATCATCACAATCATAATCATCATACTCATCATATTCATCATAAGTAATCATCCAAATCATCCTCGTCACCATCATCAGCAGCAGCATCGTCATCAGCAGCAGCAAGATCATCGTCTCACCATCATCACCATCGTGATCATCATCAGCCGAATCACCCCGTCCGTCATCGGGATGTGACGCGCCGCGTGCAAGAGGTTGCCACGGCGACGCGAACCATGCCTAAATGTCACTGCGACCTGAGCTTTGCTTGTGCCCGCGGCCCATCGCCACCATCTCTTGCTCATGCGTCAGCAAGTGCGGGGCGGGGGTTTATCCATATCCACCGCCTGGGAACCGACGTCCTGGTGCCCCAGCGGGCGGTGGACATGGATATATTTCGGCCCCCGGGGGCACGAATCTGTCCATATCCACCGCCTGCCGAAGCTCCGAAAACTGACCCTCCAGGCGGTGGATATGGGTACAATCCCGCCTCGCAGCAAGGCCGCCACAACAGCATCGAGAACGCTTCGTTGAGCAGGAGGCGTCATACCAGCCTCGGCGTCGATGGGGCAATTGACAGTTGACCCGAAGGCGCGCCGCACCCACCCCGATCGAGAGGTGCACCGCATGCCCGTCAGCGACACGCCACCGTAAGATGTCCAGCCGAGGAATGGCCGAGGCGAAATCATGTCAGCGCAGGCGCGCAGCCCCTGCCAGAGCCGAGAAAGCGGCCAAGGTGGAGGAGGAGGAGGAGGAGGAGGAGGAGGAGGAGGCCGAGGAGGAAGAGGAGAGTGAGGAGGACGAGGAGGAGGACGAGGACGAGGACGGAGAGAATGGGGACGATGATAAAAACGAGGACGACGACGAGAATTAGTGAGGAGGAGAAAGAGGAGCAGGAGAAGGAGGAGAAGGAGGAGAAAGAGGAGACGGAGGAGAAGGATGAAGGAGAGGAGGAGGAAGAGGAGGAGGAGGAGGAGAAGGAAGAGGAGGAGGAAGAGGAGGAGTAACGGGAAAAGGATAAGCATGGGTACCTCCTGGGGCGTGGGTCTTCTCAGCGCTGCGCCGACGGCGCCCGACAGGCAGCCACGCGAGAATGAAGTTACGCAGGGGGAGGCGACTCTGTCGAGCGCGGCCGCGCGGGCGGCCAAGAACATGTTGTAGTTGACGGAGTCGATCCTGAGGTTCCGCACCTTCAGGTAGATGAAGCAGCCGAGGACGAGGCGCTCGACGGCCGTCGAAAAAGACATCTCCCCGTCATCGTCGTGATGGCCACCCAGACCAAGCCGCGCCAGCACCGTTGGCTGAGCGTGGGCCCGTGGGAGGCATGAGAGGTGGATGCGCCTGTCGCACCTGAGATAGTTGCCGATGGCGTCAGGTTCACCTGCACATCCGACTTGGCACCTGTCGATCTCGGGCGGAACGTGAATCCTCGACTTAGTGTGCCACCTAGTGCGCCACCCTCCAACAAGCGCGCGAAGCACCCACCGTCAAGAGGGAGGACAGTACACCGTGGCCGATTTTAGAATGATCATTTTTTCTCTTGGGACCTCGTGGAACCTCCTCCGCACCAAGCCAACACACCAGACTATTCTTGATGGTAATTTCAAAGCTGCCCCGCACCCAGTGAGCTGCCAGAGCACGAGTGAAGTAACGTTGAGGTGTCGGCGTTGCTCCCCTGTCGGCCGCATTCTGCACCCCACGGTGGGTAAGTACAGCTGCGCGGGCAAGACCATGATGCCATTAAGTTGGCACGCAGTCGGTCATTCCGTTGACGATCGCATCAAAACGTTGCATGATAGAGGCTGGTTTCATACAGAAGGAAAGTGATCATCGTCCTGAGGCCTAGTCAGCCCGTCCACAAGCAAATCCCGATAAGTAAGCAATGTGTGCGCACAGCGGCTGTCATTGTGCTAGCGTGACCAAGACTGCCCTCCACACGGCACCCAAGGTATAAGTAAGCAACGACATCGGCGACGGGCGTGGCATCCAGTTGCTCAGCGAGTAATCATCCACAAGACGAAACGTGCTGGTGGCATGCGCAGAACTCCGTGCGTGCAGAGACATCACTCCGCCTCACGGCCTTTGCAGGACCGAAGAAATGGGCTGCACGACAGATCCAAAAACTGTGATGGCTGATGTTTGAGAGAGTCCGACGTTCGCTGCGATCGGCGCAGACGGGGACCCGATCGAGACGACTCTATGCCACCACTGGGAGCCTGCAGATGCTCATTGTGCCTGGTGTCTGGCCGCAGGGCCAACGTGAACACAAATATAGACACCTTCAACAGCGATCTGGACATGAATCCACTCGGGGAGGTTGGAGCGCAAGGAGGACTCAACCTCAACCACTTCTCGTACCTCAGCGGTAAGGACCGCCCAGAGCGGAATGACGATAGCTCTCTTAACGCGGAGGCCAAGGTTGCCGTATATTCCCCTTGTGGAAGAAGTCGGAGATCGGGATATGGTACTCGAGCTTTTGCAGGAGAACGCCAAGGTCGTCAGCACATGCAGCTACACTTCGCCATCAGCCGAGGGGAGGACTTGATGCACAGCTAGGATGGTGACGCCCATGGCAATCGCCCAAGCGGCGCCCGACAAAGGGCAGCCCTGCGCCACCCCCGAGTCAAGAGGACAAACAAAGAATACGTACCATCGGAAACTGTACCCGTTGGACAGGTCACAGAGCGCGGCCACCGCATAGAGGATGCCCTGCTCGTATTGGAATTGACGAAGTGCAGTGAAGAGCCACTGCCTGTCTAGAGGTGAAACTGCTGCCGCTGTGCCCAAGAGCATCAAGATGGGTCGATCATCTTGCGCTGTTTGTAACCCTCCAGACATACGCGCAATCGCATCCATGAGGACAATACTGTTTCAGAAGTTGCGGCCATTGTAAAAGCCTTGTTATGCATGTTGTGAGTATGCTTCCACGTGGGCGCTGATGTGGTGGTTAACGCCGCCCCGATGGTCTTAGAGCCCGTGCTCTTGCAGGAGATCGGGCGCAGGTTGCCTGCATCTCGCGTGCATGTTTGACGGTCGCAGTCCTACGTGCCCTTCGGGGTGAAGGAAACTATCAAGTCGATGAACGTGGATGACGCGTGTCCATGTGAGAAGAATAACCGCGTAGCTCCTCGAGAAAAAAAGAGGGAGGAGGAGGAGAAGGAGGAGGAGACGATGACGACGACGACGACGACGACGACGAGGACGACGACAAGGAGGCCAAGGCTGGCACTGGCGGGCTAGCGG